CTGGAGCTCAACATCTTCAGAGATGTCCGTGTAAGGAAATTGCGGGATTAAGTATCCGGTCTCTTTTTTCAAATAGCTCAATCAATCGAAAACACAAGCAATAATACATAATACTTCTACTCGTACTTGTCGACAATCGAGAGACAATGCCCAGCCTAGAAACGACAACAAGTACTAAGATCATAGAAGGTGACCAAACCCAAACAATGCTTCCAATGGAGGTAGATGGCAGTGAGAATGACCCCTGCGATCCCAAGGAAGAAGGCTTTCTGGATGAGTACACGGAAGAAGATGATGAAATCGGGTCGCCATCTCTACTGAATAGAGTTTCAGCATCAAAGCTTAATCAAAAAGGAACCGTGGCAATCCTGCAAAAAAAAAGGTATTTTTTTCTCTTATCAATCGGTGTAGTCATCACTGCATCGTTGCTTTCTCCAGTTCTATTCTACGCAAGGACGCGAAGGCCGGTCCTTCGCCTCAACCTCGTTGGCGATGAGTTTTCCCAGGACGGTTCCAACACCCAAAGMTTCAAAATCATGCAAATTACCGACATCCACCTAGGAGAAGCGGAAGACACAGACTGGGGTCCGCGACAGGACGAAAAAACCTTTGCCCTCTTGGAAAAAATCTTTGATTACGAACCTGATTGCGACCTCCTTGTTTTGGGAGGAGATCAGCTCACGGCAAACAACTGTCAGGGCAACTGCACCGAATACTACGAAATTCTTGGGAACTTTCTGTCCAMGCGAGGCGTGCCTTGGGCCACAATCATGGGAAATCACGATGACATGGATTTCTATGTCAACGAAACACTCTCGATTCCACATCCCGACACCCTCCGTCGAGACTTGTTGCGCGTCGACCARCATTTTCCGTTGTCCTTGTCGCAAGCTAGTGCAAAAGGAGAGCTATCGGGAGTCACCAACTACGTATTGGATGTTCTGGATTACACCACGGGCCAACCCGCTCTCCAAATTTTCTTTCTTGATAGTGGTGGTGGCTACGTCGCTCGGGAGGCTATTTACGATGACCAAATCCAGTGGTTTCGGCAACAGGCATCGTTGGCAGATGTTCCGGCTGTGCTCTTCCAGCACATCCCAACTTCACAGCACGAATACGTAGATGGATCCTGCTTTGGTTACCAAGGAGAAGGAGTAGCAGAGCTAGAATACGATGCTGGAATCGCCGACGCTATGATAGAAACAGGAAGGTTCCATTTTTTGGCGGTGGGTCACAACCACGGCAATGACTATTGCTGTTCTTATCATTCCAATAATAATGACAACCAAAATAGGAATACCGAAGATCTTTACTTGTGCTTTGGGAGACATAGCGGGTACGGTGGATACGGAAAATGGGATCGTGGTGTCAGAATATACGAGTTGTCTTTAACTACTAGCGACGACGATGGGCGAAGCGACACAGAAAAACAATTCCAATGGAGGACATGGGTAAGTGACAGGTGGGATTCGTACTCTTTCTACTCATGACCACTCAAAACTAGATCGCACAAATCATGAAGCCGGGAGGGTAACAAGATGGTTCGGATTGGTTTTTCTTTTAGGTTGTGTTCAGCCTATGTCTCAACTATTCCTTTCATCATTTACAATCCATGGCAGGTGCGCTTAGAATCGGGCGAAAAGGTTGACTTTATGGATTATGACCACGTCAATACAGGACAAAACGACTGATACTCATTATAGACACGGACCGCTATTTTTTCCCTATTTCGGAGAAACTTWAGCAGACTCGTGAATTCTAAGTCTAGACCGTACCTCATATCACATTGGCACATAAGCACTTCGACACGAACMCAAAAGCCGCAAGGCGCCATTCAATTTCCTCGATGTGAATGCACCTTCACTTCAACAGTAGCGAATTGTCACGGTTAGCTCCTCGTTCGTGGGAGGCAATTACTATCGCTGTTTCTAAAAAAGTACTATTCAGCAGCCAAGAAGCATGTACATAAAATGATGTACTTCACAGCTGGCTTTGATCGAAATTGATTGTGATGCAAGTCAATCAAAAGCGTGATATACCTCGGGATAACAGGTGGAGCCCTTCGCATAATATCACGATTTCTTCACCTTTCGTGGCGAATATGTAAACCTCTGACTGAATGAGAGGAAATCACATCTMGTGGTTTTTAGTAGCTCATCATGTTTCTTTTGTTTTYGGTATTGTCGGTGCTGATGCTGTAGCAAGTCACGAGGGTTATCACTCGATCTACCAATTATTTTACTTTCTTCCGATCTTGCGGTTTCCTCACCAAGTGGCGACGTTGTTATTTGAATTTTCCCCTGACCAGTAGAATCAATATCGCTGTTCTCATATTCTTKCCGACTCATTCGACTTCTGCTCGTAGGTAATTCCATACCACYCATCCTATCAATGGTGCTTCTACCAAGAGAATATCCTGCWTTGTTCGGCATGGCATGTACCGAGTGAGAAGAAGGGCATTCGGTAAAACATGATGCTAGACTTCGTTCAYTTTCACCTGTCGTGATCTTTTCCAGGAATGAGCTTCCCTGAATACTGATAGTAGAACGATTCGTAACTTCATGTACATCACCCATCGTAGTGCCCAAGCCATTCACCAAATCAACACCTGAAGGCCCATGACCAGCGGTAGTAGTAAAGCTACAAGCATACGGTGGATTCCGCTGCGTATCATTCGCTGCGTTTTTTTTCCTAAACTCCCACGCAAACCCAATGGTTTCTAGTTGAGTTATTCGATATTGTGTCATCGAATTCTGTTCTCCGTCTTGGTGCTTTTTATAAATTTGACGTTGCCGTTTGATCCACACTGCTAGTGGGGGATTGGCTTCATAGTTGGTTGGGACGTTGCAATGACCATGAATCCGTTTGAACTCAAGAAGCTCTTGTAGGCGTTCTTCCCACACAGCATCATGGCTATTCCATATGAAACCTATSTTGTTAAGGAGGCAAATGCGTTCGTCAGAAAGGCCACTCCTCTTTCCTTCGAGTTTAAGCTTGTATTGGTATCGCTGTCGCTTCACCCATTGCGCCAAATTTTCATGCTCGAGGCAGCGGTGGGTAACATGACAGTGTCCGTGAGCACGTCGAAATGCACATAGCTCTTCAAACTTTTCGCTCCAAAGCTCGGCCTGGTACCCTCTAAACCGGACTCCTCTAACCGACTCTAGTGACAGTGATGACCGATCCTTCATTCCCGGAGAATATCCTCGTACAATCCCGCATTTTAGTTGCTGCTCTTTGTGGTCCGTTTGTAAACCGAGTTTCGTTGAGGCTACTGATAGCTGTTGCTCTTCGCCGCTCAATGAACACATGGTTCTTTGTCGTTTCTTCGCTCTGGACGATTGAAGGTCAGAAATGCTCCCAGTACGTAACATGGTTGAAGGCAACCCATACTTCGAGGTCGGAAGAACAGAAGCATGTGCTTCTGAAAAGTTAGGAACACCGAGACATATCCTTCGCGGCCCACTACTCGCATTCATCCCGCCATGACATTCTTGAAAATCTGCTCTGATCACAGGATTCTTGTCCGTGGCATCTAGCTTTTGTTGAGACRCTGCCTCCGCAATGGCCGCAAATTGAGCCAATTTCGCTTCATTATTTGAGAACGTTCCCGCGCCTTCTGGATGAATCATCGTATTGTCCCAAAGTTCCATAACTTATCCAACTTCTGTTGGCCAACTTCTTTTGGCTTGAAACGCGTCCTCTCAGATTGATYAAAATAATGTGRAAAAGGATTCCAACCCCGAAGAAKTGAAGAAGTCATCGGTTTTTTATTTGGCTATTTTCACGTCACGTCAGAACTAGAGTAAGTTTGATATGGAGCATTGAAAGAGAATACTGAAGTAGTAAAGTACAGTATTATTCATYTGGAATTTCTGCATTACCCCTTTTAATTAAAAAATGATAGTATTKTTTATCATTAGAGAAATATTTATCCTTCGTACTGTATGAATTTCTAGGACGATTCGTGATCTCTGAGTTACTGTAACACTTTGTTGAACAAAATTTAGATTTACWTATCTGGGACACGTAATTTAACGTAAGCTCACCATTCCTACCGTATGCAATGTTGCTGAAGTTGCTTCTTGATGTGGAGCATTGAAGGAGATTATTATTTATTGAAAATTTCATTAGTACCATTTGTACCTTGGCAATTTTAGAAATCGTAAAGACTCGATGGTATTAAGACTTAGGTTGAAGTTGTTAAACATTATTTTGAAGTTCAAACTACATAATATTCGGTCGAGGTTTAGGGACCGAAATACGAAAACCAACCATTCTGGGCACAATTACACCGTAATCCCGAATGAAATATTTGAGAAAGAACAGCTC